AAAACTAATTGTAAAAATTTTACAAATACGTTTACAAAAGTTTACAAGATGATTTGTAAAAAAGGTTACCGGTTCAACCCATTTTATCAACACCCAAAGATAAAATTACTTAAGAAAGCAATACTTATAGATTAAAATTTTTGAAAATTTTTTTTTGTGGGGGAGGGGTGGAGAGGGACATCTCTGGAGAGAGAGAGGGCTGACTAATAAAATTGAAACAAAATCCAATTTTTAGAAAACTCGATAAACGAAGAATTGCCCTTGGAGTATCCACAACAACCAAAACAACACAATTATCAACACAACACAATTTTCTCAAATCAACAACAACAAGCATTATTTAAAAATTCGCAATGCTCCTCACAAATTCTGCAACATTCCAGCTTTTTAAGTCCATTAGACTCTGAACAGCACAATTCAATTCCAATCGAGTTTCATCAGCAAATGTCCTCGTCGTCTTCAAACGTTTACAATAGCAATTTGGATTTGGGACAGAATTTGTGGAATTCATTTGAATAAATTAATGCTTAATCGTAGTCATGTAGACATGTCCGCAAAAAATTGCGGACAAAAATTTTTGTCCGCAAATATTTTCGCGGACCTTTTTAGACGGCTAATTTTTTTTGTATTTTTATATTTATTTGACTGAAACTTAATTGACACAAAGTCTAAAACTTAAAAAAATATATTTCAAAACCTAGAAAAATTTTAAAGAAATTTTTAGATTTTCTTTTTATTTTTGAAAATTTCCGCATATTTTGAAAATTTCTGATTAAGCTTCAGTTTAGCTTCGATTCCGGGTATAACATACAATTTAATTATTTATTTTTGTACGATATTTTTTAGTTTATAAAATTATCTAACAATGGTTGTTAAAAATTAATATCGCGAATTTGCCGAATTTTTTTTCGGCATTTTACGAAATTTCGTGATTTTTTCGAAATTTCGTTTTTTTACGAAATTTCGCCTTTTTTAGAATTTTTTTGCGAAATTTCGTATTTTAAAAATTTTATTCATTTTTTGTTATCATTTTTTGCAGTTTACTTTTTAATTTTAAATATTTTGTTTGTTTAATGTTAGGAAGTTAAGGGTGGTGGTACAGACTGGCACTAACTGTGAGGGTGTTGTTATTTATGGAATGAATAGATAATAGGAGAACAAAAGTAGAACAAAAGTACAAAATATTTTGTAAATTAATTTTAATGATTGTTGAATTGTACAAACCGAGATACTCAAATATTGGGTTTCCGTAAATTAGAGTTATACAAAATGTCCGCTAAAATTTGCGGACAATTTTTAATGACTTTTTTACGATCATTTCTTGAAGACAATTTTTGCGGACTTTTTTTGTGGATATTTTTTGCGGACTATTTTTTGCGGACGTTTTTTGCGGACTATTTTTTGCGGACATTTTTTGCGGATATTTTGTATAGATTTTTTATCGATAACTTAAATTTGTGGGGTCTATTTGATTGTTTTATTTAGGGAAAAAATTCGGAAGAAAAAAAATAAACAGGATAATCCCCTAATGGAACACCTCTTTGGATTAAAAGATTAAAATTTTTAGATAAATATTTGTTCCATATTTTGATCCAAATCAACTACCTGAAATATATTTATTTGTTATTCCTTTTCCGTTCTCATTGTAAAATCTCTTTTTTTCATCAATCCATTCAAACAATCGACCGTGTTTATATTGTTGTCCTTCACACTGACCGAGCTACCCTATTTATAGGTGAATACCACCCAGAAGACCAATTTTAATTTAAATAACCCAGAATATCAACAAATAGATAATCAAGCTGAGATGGACAAAAATCAGAATATGGAACAAGAAATCAGAATAAAAAATCAGAAGATATAATCAGAACATCAGAATTAAACTTAAAATCATATCAGAATAAAAAATCAAGAAAAATCAGAATTAAAAATCATAGTCAGAATATCAGAATTAGAGGCAAAAAACCAGAATCAGAATATTAAATCAGAATGTCAGAATTCAAATCCAGAATATCAAAATTAAATATCAGAATTTTAATACCAGAATATCAGAATTTTAAATCACACAAATCAGAAAAACAAAAATCGTTAAATCAGAAATCAGAATTTAAATTTAAAAAATCCAGAAGGTCACACATCACCACAAGAATCCCCCAAAAATGTATTTCAAAAAATTTTAGTTGATCTTTTGTCCCTTATATTTTTTAATACTAAATGGCCTTTCCCAATTATTTTTTTCTGCGCATTTCTTTCCATTTCACATCCATTCTCAGTCAGCTTTTTTCGCGCTCGCCTAATTCTTCCCTTCTCTCATTTAATTTTTTAATGTCCCAATCAACCAATTCCACAACGCTTCTTTTTTACTCTAAAAAATAAATTTATTAGTCATTTTACATTAATAACAATTTACTAAAAGCAGGTGATCCCCCCACAAATTAATCAAAGAAAATATAATTTATTTTAAAAAATTAGTCAGCTTAGAGGGGCAAAGTTTATTAATTTGTTACTCTATAAAAGGGAATAAAACGTGACTAACTTTAACTCTATATTTGGTAATTTATTTTTGAATTAAATTGGTAATTTAATTTTGTTAAGTATAGTATTACAATTATAAGTTACAATTAATTCAGGTTGAAATTCTGATTTTTAATTCTGACATCATTTATTCTGATTTTAATTCTCAATTAAAAATTCTGATTCAAATTCTGATTTGTAAGATTCTGATTTTACAAATGATTTTATAAATTCAGCTTTATAAATTCTGATTTTTAATTCTGGTTTTTAAATTCTGATATTTATTCTGATTTTAATTCTTATTTAAAAATTCTGATTTTATAATTCTGATTTACAATTTATAAATACTGGTTTTTAAAATTCCGATTTTTAAACTTCTGATTTTTAAAATCTGATTTTAATTCTGAATTAAATTCTGATTTTTAAAATTCTGATTTTAATTCTGATTTATAAATTCTGATTTTTTAAATTCTGACCTAAAATAAACTTTGATTCTGATTTTATTTTTCTTTTTATATTTGTTTAAATTCTGATTTTAATTCTGATTTATAAATTCTGATTTTTAAAATTCTGATCTAAAATTAAACTTTAATTCTGATTTTAATTTTCTATTTATATTTGTTTAAATTCTGATTTTAATATTCCGGTTTATTATTCTTCCTTCGTTTTCCTTTTTACCTTTACCCAAAGAACTTTCAGTTATTATCATTTAGTTCCGCATTAATATTTTTTGCGCAATGCCACTCTACTTTTTAAATTAAAATAAAGTGCATTGTCAATAAATTAATTTATAACAAAACAATATTTAATGTATCCCCCCCCCCCCTTTTTTTATTATTTTCCTTTTTTGCATCGGTGACTTTACACACTCACACATCAACGGCGGCTCTCCCCAAGAGAGAGAACATCGACTGATACTAATAAATAAAAATATTTATTTTTATTCCAGAAGATAAACACTTAAAAAGATATGAAATCACTTGGTATTTATAAATTTTCTGAAGCATGCTTCTGAAGAATGCTTCTCACTTGGTATTTAATAAATTTTCTGAAGCATGCTTCTGAAGCATGCTTCTCACTTGGTATTTATAAATTTTCTGAAGCATGCTTCTGAAGATTTATAAATTTTCTGAAGCATGCTTCTGAAGCAAGCAGAAGCATGCTTCAGAAAATAGAAATTCTGATCTGCAAAAATTCTGATTTAATTCTGATTTTCTGATCTATTCTGATTTTTGGAAATTCTGAAAAGTTCTGATTTTTGTCAGAAAGTTCTGAAAAATTTCAGAAATTTTGAAAAAATTCTGATTTTTATTTTTTTTATTCTGATTTTTATTTATTTTAACGAGATTCTAATATCAGGTTTTAGTTGTTAATATGAAACATGCTTCTTAAATCAGTAATGAAACGCATGCTTCTAGTATCAAGCTTCTGGAATATTTTCCTGAAGCATTCTAAGAACATATTTTTAAAAGTTAGCATGCTTCAATAACATCTTTTTAAGCATGTTTATTTTGCTTCTTAAACATCTTCTGATTTATATATTAAAATTCTGATTTTTATTTCTGATTTATTCTTATCTTACTTCTGTACATCTTTTTTTCTGATTTGTTCTGATTTTTTATTTCTGATTTCTCTCACGTTTACCTTTAGTTGAGCGTTCATTCTCGATCTTCTGGGTTTAGTTTTTATTTACTACTTTTATCCTTTCCTGCCGTTTTTATTCGGTGACCGATGTGTGACGGGGAGAGCAACGAAAAAATAGGGGGGAGGTGAGTGTGTTAAATACGGAAAGGTGCAGGCAGTGTGTGTTTGTTTGAAAGACCTTTTTATTTATTTTTAATGTTCTGATTTGTTTAACTTTTCTCGCATTTATTTAAAATATTTTTAGATTTTTATTTATTATTCCTACCTTTAATAAATCCTAATTTAACGAAGAAATATTAAATTAATTCTGAAATAGATGTGAAATTCTGATTTTATTTGTTTTTATTTTTATTTCTATTTGTTCTGATTTTATTATTTTTATATTTCTGATTTTTAATTCTGATTCTTTTATTAAGTTCTGATATTATATTCTGTTTTCTAAATTCTGAATAATTCTGATTTTTTAAATCTAACGTTAAATATTCTGATTTTAATTTTAAAATTCTGATTTTTAATTTTGATTCTTTTATAAAGTTGTGACATTTAAATTCTGATTTCCATAATATTCTGATTTAGAAATTCTGATTTTTAAAAACTCTGATTTTTTAAAATTCTGATCTTAATATTCTGATTTTTAAAATTTATTTGTTCTGATTTTTAAAATTTATTTGTTCTGATTTTTAAAATTTATTTGTTCTGATTTTTAAAATTTATTTGTTCTGATTTTTAAAATTATTTGTTCTGATTTTGAAATTTATTTGTTCTGATTTTTAAGATTTATTTGTTCTGATTTTATCTACCAATTTATAATTCTGATTTTTTTGTTTCAGATTTAAATAATTATTTTCCACTACCAAAAAATGCCTAAAAGCAAAATTCATTCAGCCAGTATTTTAGCAGAACAAAAACCACCTTCAGAATGTGGTTCACAACAAGAAGAAAAAATATTATTAAATTTAAGCATTTCCCCCAAAAAACGAAAATCAGAGGAAGAATTGTGCCGACTTCCAAATGAAGTCGAAATTTGTCAATTAAACGATTTGAGGAAAATATTAGCCCCCCAATTAGCAAAACATACAAATAGGGATGTGGATGATGGCTATTTGTTGAGATGGTTACGTTCAAAAGAGGGGCGTTTTGATGAAACTGCTGATGTTGGTATTTTTAATACAGTTAGGAACAGAGCTGTTTTCGAAAAAAGTAGAAGATCGGAAGTCGAAAATCGAAACAGCCTTGGTCAGAACCTCATTATAAGATACCCTCGATGTCAGATACACCTCAATTTAAGATTCGATTAATTAACTTTGCAAGCCCCCTCCAATTAAAATCCCCGTTCACCCGAGGTGGGATCCCTCATTAGAAGCAGGGTTGGCGTTTTTCTACACGAAAATTTTGGCGCACAGCCCTGATTATAAGCTATCATTTTCGCCCTAAGAGGGTATAATATAGGAAGGCTTAAGTGTTGGGAAAATGTAAAAAAATAATTTAATTTTATTTTAAGGGAGTGAAAAAAGATTTAGTGTTTCGAAAGGCTTGGGGACTTGACAAAATTGCAAATTGGACGGCACCCGAGGTGGGGTTATTTTTTTATTTTTTTTTGGAAAATTGGGATGGAATGTTAAGTTTTGAACCAAAAAATAATTTAAATTTTTAAAATTTGCAAATTTTTTTAAAATGTCAAAAGCCCAAAAATCTTTCAAAACGTCAAAAATCGAAAAATCCTTCAAAATGTTAAACTCCAAAAAAAATCAAAATGTCCGGTAAATTAAACATTTGACATTGGTTCTAAAAAACAAAGCTGGGTACTTACATATCAGGGATCTAGCCGTCCCGATTCCTGATTCCCGAAAATCGGGAATTGGATTTTTATGTCGGCTAGATCCCTGGTACTTATTGTGACAGAGCAAAGTTGGTAACGCTGTTTAAGACTGGCCATTTTTTCACTTTCTGAAGTAAAAAAAAAGGAGGAGGGGGGGGGGGGGTACGAAGTTCAATTTTACCCCCAAAAATTTTTTCAAAATATCAAAAACTCCAAAGTTTCCTTCAATAAGTTAACAAACAACTAGAAACATTCTCTATATTGTTTACTTGTTTCAATTAGACTGACTCACCTTTACACCATATCACTTATTTTAATTAAATTCTTTTAACGGTTTATGCGTGTTATTATTTGTGTCCACAAACAGGTTTAAAATTGAAAGGAAAAAGTTTATTTATTTTGTGGCCATTAAAGGGAAATAATAAAAAAAATTCTTAATTTATCAAACGACTTTTGCTCTGAGATAAAAAGTTAAATGATAGGGGAGAGAAGAAAAAATTAATTGATGATCCATAAGGTCACCTTTCTGAAGATCAATTGGGTAAATATTAAGGGTCTTTAGAACTCACTGAAAATAAGAAAAATCAGAAAGATTCTGATTTTCATGAAACCAGAATTTTCAGAATTAACTTTTCGGAGGCAGCACCACGGGGGAGGGGATGGGAAAATTCTTTTTTCACTAGGAGGGGGGGGGGGGGGGGCGTGGAATCTTCAAAAAATCTCTCCCCGACTTTCGAGGTTGGGGAACAACCCTAATAGAAGTCACATTTCTTCGAGTATGGACCCTATCTGAGTCCGAACATTCGTTGAGTTTTTGCATATAACATGCCCTATTTGAGACCTATTTAAGAGTCATTTGTGTTTCTGACCATTATGGTCCCATTATTGAAGTTTTTTGTGAACATCACAGTCTGTATGAGTCTATTAGCTTCTATTGAATTTTTTGAAGGGTTAAAAAAATTTCAAGTTTAGATCCTCGAGAAATACTGTGGATATGGATTTCTGGGAGATAGATCTGGCAACCCAATTTTAATGTCCCTTCTGGGCAATATGGATGTTGAGGGGATGCTCCGATCAGTTCAATCAAAAGATTACATTAAATTTTCACTTGCTGCCATAGAAAAGGGTATAGCTTTGTGTAGACAACGGGCTCAGGAATCTGGACTTGCTTTTGAGCAGATGGTAAAATCAGAAAATAATTTATGATTTGAAGAAATCAGAATTTTTGATAATCAGAATTATTCTGATTTTTAACTAAATCAGACTGAAAATCAGAATTATTGTGTTCTGATAAAACCAAAATTCTGAATCAGAACAATTCTGTTTTTTAATTCAGAATTTCTGAAATCAGAATAAATCAGAATTTATGAGAACCAGAATTGCTCTGATTTCTTCAGAAACCAGAATTTTTGGACCAGCAATTAGAATTTCTGAAATTTATTCTGATTTTTACTTATCAGAATTTATTTAAGTTCTGTTCTGATTTAAAATAAACTATAATTTCCAAAATCAGAATTAGTTTATTCTGATTTTCTCTTAAATTCTGAAAAATATTCTGATTTAATTAAAACATTTAAATACAGATGCTCGTCTTCGATTTAGATCACATAACTTCTGCCCATTATTCATCCAAACAATTTGCTTCTTCCTTCACAACCTTAATTATGCTATTTCAAGAACACTATCCACTTGTTTTAAGAAAAATTTTAATTATTAGAGCACCAGAAATGGCCAGAATTGCTTTTAATTCAATGACACCTTTCCTCTCTGAGGCAACCCAAAAATTAATTGAAATCCCGTCAGAAGAGGATTGGAAAATGGCGTTGAGTGAATATGTGGTTAGTTGTTGAGAGAATGGGATAAAAGAGATATTTATGGAAATTCTAAAATCAGAATTTTGGTTGAAAATCAGAATTATTATCAAAATTCTGATCTGTTTATTTCAAAATTAAATCAGAACTCTTCTTTAAAATTCACAATTATTATTCTGATTTTCTATTTCGGAAATAAATCAGTATTCTTATATATAAAAATCAGAATTTTTATCAGAATTATCTTTTAAAATCAGAAATTCTATCAGAATTCTGATCTATTCGGAATTAAATCGGAATTTTTCCTCATAAAATCAGAACAGTTTAAGAATTCTGATTTTGTGATCAAAATTATTATCAGAATTCTAATTTGCTTTTTCTAAATCGAATCAGAATATTTTCCCTTACGAAATCAGAATTTTTCCTTACGAAATCAGAATTACTTTTATCATTATGTTTCAGAATTATCGTATTTTTGTCATGCCAGAATTCCAATTTTCTGATTTTAATATCAGAATTATTATTAGAATCCTGATTGACATTCATAACATTAAATCCTTTAAATTAAAAAAATCAGAATTACCATTACAACTACCCTAAAATTTCTTTTAAAGGATCTCGATGCCTGGCCAGTCCATTGGGGAGGCAGAATGTGCGAGAATGGAGATCCAAAGTAGCTAGATATTTTCTTTCTGATTTTTTTTTATTTTTCTCTCAATTTTAAACAGATGCCCCTCAAAAGTTCGTTACGGCCTTGGGCCCGTCCCTGACTCCTATTATGTTGACCAGTCAACAGTAATGACTGATTACGATCAATTAACTACAGTGTATGCAGGTGATAAACATCTAATTGAGTTGAGAGTGAAGGCTAATACTAGAATAAGGTGAGTAGTTGGGGGTGTTTTTGAAGGTGGATAAGAGAAAAAAGACAAGGTCAAATAAAAAATAAATTTTGAGGTGATTTATGCCCTAAAGTCAAGATTTTCCTTTTTTGAGTAGTGAATGATTAGAGGTCATAAATATTGGAAAATTGAAACCTAAATAGAGAAAAAAGACTTTAAGACGATAGGGCATGGATTTAAATAAAATTCTAAGCGAAAGTTTACATAATTGTCGGCAGCTTTAGGCAAATTTTAAAGTTCCTGAGGAGATAGACAAATTACAGAATCATAAAGGGATATGTATCAGAGAACGAGCCGACATAAAATTAAGTTCCCGGTCTTCTCGGAAATCGGGAATAGTAAGAGGATCAGGGAAAGCTTCGGATATCCGTATCCTCCCATCTTAATTAGATATTAGAGTCCGGACAGAGGGGCCGACATATCTCATCCGGGCTCTATTCGATATGTATCGGTTTTACTCTATAAAAAATTAGGGACATATACTATAAGATTTTACATATCTATTTATAAATATAAGAATTCCAAGACAAAAATAAAAATTCTAAGAAAAATACATAAGGACAATTAACAACTGGATATCCCTAAATTTAAATTACTAAGGGTAGAGGGAATTTCATAAAAAAAATTACAAAATCTAAAAACAATTTTTCTTCTAAAATGTCCAATTTAAAGTTGGCAATATATGACAGAAGAAGAGGATATTGGATTTGCCGTTTATTTTGATTCTTCGGGTACAGCAAATAATTTGGCTGAAATGGAATGTGTTTACCCGTAAATTAAAAAATTATTCTTCTTTAATCGCTCTTTTGTAGGTATATTCGTTTGGAGTGCTCGTTAGTTCCTATTTCTGGATCTATGCTTTGTGAACAGACTGGAAGATGTAGGGGATATAATTTTTTAAAGGAAAAATATAACAATGATAATATAAGGACATGGAGACATAAGAACAGAACTAAGGGCAACCTAAAAGTCTAAGGGATTTTTCAGCAATCTAGGAACAATCTAAGAAAGTAGGACATTTAAGGGAATCCTAAATCTATGAAAATATAAAGACATTTAAGAAAATCTATGAAAATATAAAGACAATCTAAGAACAGAATTAAGCAAACATGGTAATCGATACGGACATGGATACAGATAATTTCAAAATTCCTGCGGATATCCGCCTGTATCCGCCGTAATTATCTGGAAATATCAGAATTTGTGTCCGTTACCAAGTCTGGAATTAAGGACAATATAAGAAAATTTAAGGTTAATCTTATGTCTTTGGAGCATCCCAAAGACATAAGAACAATCCTAGAAAAAATATAAGGGCACTTAAAAATTTTTCTAAACCTTTAAAAATATTTTCACACACATTTTCTTCCACAGATATAATCGAATTTGACAATTATTATTCTTGGTTCTCGGCTAAACAATTGCGTTATAATATTGAAATTGATGATAGAGGAGTGAATTAAAAAAGAGATTAAAATTTTTATAATTTGTACGGTTATAAATAAAAACTATTTTTACATTTTAAGTAAAAATTTTTTTTAAATATTTTGGAATATTTCTTTGTTTTGTATACGAGCGCAGGTGCCACTTTGGTATAAAATTCTGAGTCATTTTTGACTTCAAGTTTAAAACAACTTCCATGCCACAATACTTTTTTCATTTCGCTTAAGCTAAAAAGTTTAATCGAGCAATTAAAAAGGAGTTGGAGGGCGTCTCAGCGTCTTCAGCGTCTCATTATGAGGTGCTTATCAAAGCTGGGCGAAATCTAAAAATAAACTTTTCGCGCTGAAAAATGCAGAATGCGAAAAATGCAGAATGCTAAAGATGCGAAATAAGCCCAGCCCTGGTGCTTATGTTTAATACAACAGAAATTACCTCGATCCCTGATCGGACTTTAAATTTTTTCCTGTTTTAAATTTTTTATTTTGTTCGTTTAATTTTTTTAAATAATTTCAGTAAGTCAGAAAAATTATTTAAACTCATTCAGATGACGCCATTTTCGATTTGGCGCAGTTTATTAGTTTTTGGTTTTTAAAAAGTTTCAAGCCTTTGATATTATATTTTGATTTTTAATTTCTAATAATATTTATTTTGACTTATATTTTTTAAACAATTATATTGTTTCCATTAAAATTAAATTTATTTATTTTTTAAAAATAACTCAAAACAACCAAAACGTATTTATAAAAGAATGACGATAACCAAGTCACCTGCCATTTCCAACAAATAAATAATTCAATTTATTTTCCTGAGATATTAAACCATATTTAGGCCTTTCTTTTATTTTTAATGCGTGAGATTAAAAATGTTATGGAGGGACAAAAGGAAAATTTTTTTATTAAACACACCTTTTCTTTTAAATATTAAAAGCATTTGCGTCATTAAAGCTTTATTTGTCTATTTAAATTAATTCTCTCAGAAAAACTAATTTAATTAAAAAAATAATTCTTAATGCTAAATTACTGTAATAATATTTTAATGTTATTTTTTCTGAGAATAAAGCAAAAATATGTTGAGTATTTTTAATGTTGTTAGTTTACTTGGTATATTTTCTTCTGTTTATTTAGTATTTTTAATTAATTAGAAGCTATTAAAAGTCTTCCGGAAAAAATATAACTATCTAAAGTATAACTATTAATATAATTTCCGGAAAGAATATAACTATCATTATAATATTATAATTAAAGTTTTCCGGAAAGTTTAAATAATATTATTATATGTAGTTATTCTGATTTCTCTAGTATAACTATAATTATAAATAAATAAACTTGAATATAGAAATCAGAATTTAATAATCAGAAAATTAAAAATTAAACTTTTCGGAAAGCTTATAAAGCAGTTAATATTTATAACATTAAAAACTTTCCGGAAAAGTTTATACTAATTATTCTGGTTTTTAAATTCTGATTTTTAAATTCTGATTTTTTAATTCTGATTTTTAAATTCCGATTTTAAATTATGATCTTTTAATTCTGATTTTTAAATTCTGGTTATATTTAATTATATTTATACTAGATAAAACAGAACATAGTATATCGGAATATAATATCGAACTTTCCGGAAACTTTCTTTATTATATTCATAGTTATCCTCCATATTTAACTATTTTTTTAATTCTGATTTTAATCCAATTTTTATTCTGATTATATTCAATTTTTTCTCCTTGTTTATTCTGCTTATATTTTCTATTTATAGAATATTCCCCCTATTGTTTTGTTATTAAAAATATTAAAAATTTATTTTTAATTAAATTCCAATAATTATTTCTTTGTTTAAATTCTTTTATTTTCATAATTCTTTTAATTAAAATAATTATTTTAAATATCTATTCCATTTTTAATTGTATTTTTGCGTGTAACTCCTACTGCAGATAATTCATTATTAAAGTTGAATTTGTTTTATAATTTTTAAAATTTTTAAATTTGCAAATTAAATATCACTAGATATAATACTACAATTTATTATGTACATACGTCAAACGCGCTGAATGATATAATAAAGTTTAAAATTATAATTATATAAACCCAATTTTAATTAATTAAGTCTATTAAATAAGTCAGATTATTAAATAATTTTATAAACCTTCTGGAAAAGTATTTGGAATAATACTTTAGAAAGTATATATTGATAATATATTGATAAACCTTTCTTTATATATTGATAATACCCTTATAATTTTCCCCCTTTTTATGGACTTTTTATCATTTGAAAGATTTCGAGCTGTGTCGAGTGGCACTAAAAAACGAAATCTGACAAAATGGACAAAGTTATTAATATTTATTTTAATCCTTTGCATCGGCACAATTTTTTCCAACAAGGCTCAGCTTCATCATGGTATCATTCTTTTGAATGATATATATATTTAAATAAGGCAAAATTCACACTATTTAGATAAAATATACATTAGAATTACATTAGAATATATGTACATTAGAATTTAGAAATTATAAAATTCCGGAAGTTTTTTTTCTCCTTTAATGATTCAAAAGAATGCTTAAATACTTAATCCTCATGCTTCAAGTCACTATATTAATAATTTTATAAACCTTCCTAAAAATTTTGTTATTTATAATTTATTTTTAAGCTTTAATAAAAACTAATAAATAATAATGAATAACAACACAATTAATAATATTCCCGAATTATCATCAAAAATAATTCCAACTTCAATTTGCCTGTTTTTATTTACCATATTTTTACTTCCCCTAATTTTATTGCTAATAATAATACTCTACAAAACCAAACGTCTTTTGCACCTGAATACTCGTATTTTGTTGACAGTCGTTCCCTTGTCGGTTATATTAAGCCTGGCTTCTAGAATTTGTCTTCTTTTAATGGTAAAAAATTTTTGAGGGGTTCCAAATTTATCAATTAATTTTCAGGTAATTAGCGAGAATCCGGCTAGATTTATGGAAATTGCAGTTTATTACCCAGCATTCTTTGCCAACTTTTTTATTAATTCCCTTCCAATTACTATTGGGCTTGAAAAGCTAATTTCTACATTGTTTTGTAAATATTATGAAAAGAATAAGCGTTTACGCTTTGTTGGGATTGGTATTTTGGCAATACAGGTGAATTTCATGTTTATTTTTAAGAGTTATATTTCCGAAAAGTATAGTATATCACCGATTTTATTTTTCTTTTCGGAAGGTTTATTTATCTACTAAAATATTTAGTATAACATTTCAGAATCTTTATTTAATTCCTCCGGTTATAACTCTTCCGGAAGGTTGTATACTATTTTTTATTATTATATTTTTAGTTATACTTATTTTTCCGGAAAGTTTAGAGTAATACTTTCCAGAAAGTTTTCCGGAATGTTTAGATTTATAACTTCCACAATGTTTTTCGGAAAGTTAGAGTTATACTTTCCAGAAGTTTTCCGGAAACGTCAGAGTTATACTTTCCGGAAAGTTTTCCGGAAAGTTTAGAGTAATACTTTCCAGAAAGTTTTCCGGAACTTTAGAGTTATAAGTTTTCCGGAAAGTTTAAAGTTATACTTTCGAGAAAGTTTTCCGGAAAGTTCTATTCTTTTATTATTATTTTATTTAGAGTTATACTTTTTCCGGAATTCTAAATTATTTTTCATTATTTTATAGTTGATAACAGCATTATTATTCAGCATCGTTCGTTTCAAACTTACTTCTAAAGAAAATAACACTCAAAATATTTCATCACTTCAACATACAATATTTAACAATCTTCAAATCATATTACCTCAAAGTTCAATAATAATTCCTGTATTTTCCCTTCTTTTTTGGAACTCAAAATTATCCGTACAAAATCAAAAATCTTCAAAAAATTCAATTTCTTGTCGTTACCAACTTAGAGAAAATTGTCGCACTTTGCGCTTCTGCCTACTTTTTGTCTTTCTATTGGGCGCCTCTACTTTTATCCAAATTTTATTACACACTTTTAACGATGAGGAAAGCAGAACTCTTTTCTTTAATGTTAATTATTCTGTTGAACACTTTGGACCACTTGAGGAATTTTTGGCTCTCTTCCCTCAAACTTTGGCACTTTTGGGCACACTTTTAGGACATGTAAGCTAATTTTCTGATTAAAATTCTGATTTTTAAAATATTTCTTTATAGAAATCCATCCGGCTTTCACTCCTTTCTCTCTTTGGCATTGAAGTTTCAGCAATGGAAAGAGCCGTTACCAAGCAAAATAAAAACTTGCATATCAACACGGTCAACGGCTCTTTATCCTCCTCTTTTTCCTCCAATCGAACTGCCCGTGTCTCCGACGCAAAATCAGTTAATGAACTAATCAGAGATGCACATTTTGATATTCTTCAAAACTACTGGGAAAAGAAAACCTGAAAGATAATTAATTTTCCCTTTTAAATAAAATAATTGATAATATGATAATATATCCGGAAAGTTTATTTTATTTGTAAATAAAGTTTATACAAAGTTTATTTTATTTGTTTAAGAGAAAAATATAAAAAATTATATTATGTACATATATTTATAGTTATACTTTTCCGGAAGGTTTAATTATTTTCCTTAATAACTTCCGGAAAACTCATTTTAATTAGTCTCCTGAAATTATAACAATTATAAATATAACAATAATTTTTTCCGGAAATATACATATAGTTTTCCGGAATCTAATAAAATTATATAGTTATACATACATACTTTTCCGGAAAGTATATATTTTATTTATTACATAAGACTGATCTATTCAAATTTTACTTTCAGAATTTTAATTTTTAAAGATTATTCTGAACGGTTTTTATTCTCAATAATTGTTCTTATCGATTAACCAGAACGTTTAATAATAACTGACCATCATTGCGCAGTGACCTCGCGATATTTTCAAAAATAACTGAAATCCGATATTCCTTTAATGATTAATATCATTTTGCATTTTTTCTAGTTAAATTGATTAAAATCAAAAATTTGACCTAGAAAATCTTTAAAGAATTTACCTCATAAATAAAATTTTTTTGACAACAAAATTAACCAAAAAAATACTCGTTTAATGATTTTAAATAAACAGAAAATGACTAATAATCTGTTAGCAAAAATTGCAATTTAAAGGAGCAAATAAATATTTGTCATCCTCCTTTCCGAGGAATTTTGTCATTTTTTAAATAGCTAAAATACTCCTTATAACCTTAATATATATATTTTAATTTTCCTCCAGTTTTTTTAAATTTTAAAGTAGTTGAATTGATTTATAAAATACTATAATTAAACTTCCGGAAAATAATTATCTTTTTTAGAGTTATACATCTTCCGGAAAATATATTCTAATTACTATTATTTTCAACATTAAACTTTTCCGGAAGAATAGGTTTCCGGAAAATATAGAATTACTTTTAAGAGTTATTTTTTCCGGAATACAATTATTTTTTTAGAGTTATACATTTCCGGAAAGGTTATTTTTAGAATTAAACCTTTCCGGAAGTCTTCAGATTCTATAATATTTTCCGGGATATAATTATTTTTTAAAGTTAGTATTCTTTTTTGGAAAATAGGATATAAATTATTATTCTTTATATTATTATTATTCTTTCCGGAACACAGCAACATAAAACAGGCAGAGGGTGCAACCAGCCTTTCAGTGCGGGAGTATGGTTTAGTTGGTTAGTGACAGCGAAAAATGCACAAGGTTCGAATCCTTTCAGTGAAAATGAATTATATAATAAGGAAATCCTAATAATATCTTTTCTAATTAACATTTAATGTCATTTTAAATTAAAATAAATTTTTTCAAATCAATCTTTCCTTTATTTTTCATTTTCTAAATTTACTTATAAAACCATATGTAACTTTTTTTAAACATATTAAAAATCAATTAATTTGGTTTTAAAACAAAGATAAGACTTTGTTTAACGATTTGGCTAAGTTGAAATTTTTTTCTCAAAGTTTTTTTTCGAGATAAAGCTTCTCGAAATTATACATCAAATCTTTAGAGAAATAGCATGCGAAAAAAATAGAGCGATATAGAAAAAGAGAAAATTTTTCATTTATTTCAGTGCCACTGAAACGGCTCTAAGTTGCAGGTTATGTTGCTGTGCGGAATATATAAACTCCCCCTTGAAATATAGCCTAGGAAATATTTTTCTTAATTAAACCTTTCCGGAAGCAGAATTACTCACTAACATTACTCATAATATACATAAAACAATGCCAACAACTATTCATCAATTACCTTTTTCTACCCCTAAAATTGCTCCAAGCCAGCAAACCTCACTAAATACACTTAAGAACGACAAAAGATTATACTACACATTTAATTATGTTAGATTCTTAATCTTGGCACTCTCTACAATTTGCCTTTCTTTGACTGTTGGGAGCTCTTTAGCTTTTAATTTTACGGTAGAAAATTCTCTCGGTTTTTCAAAAAAAATTTTAAATTAAAAAATCAGTTGATTTGTATGGAAGAGGACAATACAGAGTCAGTCACCAGCCTGCCTAAAATCCAAAAGAAACGTGAACCGTTAAAAGAGCATTTAAATTCAGAGGATACTAAATGGCAGAAGGACTGGCTGTTGTCTGTAGTTGCTGTGGGTACACTGCTGGGAACATTACCCATTACTTGGATAACAGAAAAACTGGGCATTCGGTTATTTAAATTATTTTAAAATTTAAAAAATTCCTGAAAGGTGTTATTAATAATATGCTTTCCGAGAATATGTCCAAATATAAGAAAATTAATAAAAAAATTTTATAATAATCAACCTTCCGGAAACATATTATAGTGAGCTTAATTATGGGCCCCCTTTTACACCTTCTTAGGGGTATTTCCCCCTTTTTGACCTTCTAGTCCCATTTTTTCCACTTTTTCACCATTGCCACTACTTTGCCCCATTTTCACCTGTTAATTCGAAAAGGGACACATTGATATAAAATTTATAGGTTATATCAGGGTATTTGCTTTCTTTAAAAATAGACGTTCTGATTTAATTAATACACTTTCCGGATAATCTATATTTCAGGAATAAAATAATAACTATAAATTTTTACTAGATGGATGGTTACAGTTTATGGCATGCTTAGTTCATTAGCTACTCTTTTAGTACCTTTTGCTAGCACTCTAGGATTCTGGACATTATTAGCTGTTCGAGTTGTTCAAGGATTTGGTGTTGCAACTTCATACGTTGCAATGAGTTAATTTTTATATTTATATAGCAATTTTTATGTTTAATTCAAAGGCACTATAAGCGAAGAATGGGCACCTCTAAGCGAATCTGGAATGTTTCTCTGCCTTATTTCTTGTCATTTTCAGGTGAATAATTTATTTTAGAAACTAAATAAATTATTTGCCGAAAATGTGCTATTATAAAGGATGAAAAATAATTGTTTTTTAAATAAGCTTTACGGAAAGATTTTTGAAATAAACATTTTCCGGAAAATTATATTTTTGGAATGAACTTTTTCCGGCAAGTTATATTTTTGGAATAAACATTTTCCGGAAAATTATATTTTTGAAATAAACATTTTCCGGAAAGATATTTTTGGAATAAACATTTTCCGGAAAATTATATTTTTGAAATAAACATTTTCCGGAAAGATATTTTTGGAATAAACATTTTCCGGAAAATTATATTTTTGAAATAAACATTTTCCGGAAAGATATTTTTGGAATAAACATTTTCCGGAAAGTATATTTTTGGTATAAACATTTTCCGGAAAGTTATATTTTTGGAATAAACATTTTCCGGAAAATTATATTTTTGGAATAAACATTTTCCGGAAAATTATATTTTTGGAATAAACATTTTCCGGAAAGATATTTTTGAATCCGGAAGTATTTTAATAAACATGAACTAATTTATTCCCTCCTTCACCAGTTTGGTCCATTGCTTGTTATGCCTATAGCAGGTGAATTGTGTGAAAGTACTTTTGGTTGGACAGCAGTCTATCACATATTTGGAAGTGTTTCAATTTTCTTCTTTATTTTATTTTGTTTATTTTTTCGAGATTCTCCTAATGAACATTTGTTTGTTTTATCAACATTAAAATTATTTTAAAATTATTTCTCTAGTTTAACAACAGAATTGGAAAGACGATTAATCGGAGATGGCAAAAAACAAATTTTTGAAGCAGATAAAAACAGTGGAAATGTTCCTTATTTACGAATGCTGACAGATATTGTTGTCTGGGGCATTCTAATTTCCAACTTTGGAGCCACTTTCGGCAATCAAATTTTTAATCAACTTGGTCCTCAATATTTAAGTAAAGCATTAGGAATGCACCCAAAGAATGCTGGATTTGCTGCAGCCCTTCCCTTTTTACTTGCAGCAGCAATAAAAATGATGGCTGGGCCTATTAGCGATAAAATTGGTAAACGGCTTTCTGAGAGAACGAGAGTTATAATGTTTACAAGTATATCACAGGTAATTATTGAAAATTTCCGGAAAAAGTTGAATGTTTATAAATAAAAAATTCCGGAAAGTTATATCTTCGGGAATAAAAAAGTTTCCGGAAAGTTTATTCTTTTTTAATATTTCCGGAAGTTATATTTTCTCAAATAAAACTCCGGAAAGTTATATTTTCTTAAATAAAACTTTTCCGGAAAGTTATATTTTCTTAAATAAAACTTTTCCGGAAAGTTATATTTTCTTAAATAAAACTTTTCCGGAAAGTTATATTTTAATAAGCCCTGGTGAGAGTTATATTTTATAGTCTTCCGGAAACTATACTCTTTTGATAAACTTTTTCCGGAAAGTTTATTCTACTTATATAAACTTTTCTGGAAAGTTTAATTCATATATTTTATATTTTAGTATTTCATGGCTCTACTTTTCACAGCACTAGTTTTGCTTCCCAAAGACCAAACTATAGCAATTCAAGCTTGTTACACTGCTGTAGCAGCGTTTTCAGGCCTATGGCAAATCGGGGCAGTAAAATGTGCTCAACTTGTAATTAAATAATTAATTAAAAATATTTTATGTTTATTTAGAGTATTCGTCAATTTTCTGCTTCCATATTCTCATGGAATACTTTTGTTAGTTACGCAATAGTTTTGTGAGTTTCTCTTGGTTATAAATTTAATTTTAAAAAATTATTCAGAGTTTTGCCAGAAGTTTCAAGCAGACTAGCACCGAATAAAACGGCAGAGGAGTGGAATAGGATATTTATTGGAATAGCTGTTAGTCAAGTAATTTGCACGACTTTCTTCAATTTTACTGCTCGGGTAGAGCCGAGGCCGTGGACGATGGATGAAGATATATCAGAAGAAAGAATAAATAAAAATAATTTAAATGAGATAACAAACAGCTAATGCTAAGAATTCAGTAATTTTTAAATTATTAAATTGAAGCAAAAAATGAATGATAAATCAGATTTGATTATTCATGAAGCAGGCGGAATATATTATACCTAAATTATAATTAAACATTGTGAGAAAAGTTGGAATATGTATATCAAGCATACTACCGTTCTGGAAATTATATGAATTTCCGGAAAGTTTATATTTCCGGAAAAACGGGAAATTATTTATACTTTATTTATAAACAATTTCCGGAACGTCTATTACATTATATATTCCTTTCGTAAATATATATGTATAATATACTTTTCTGGAAATTATATGAATTTCCAGAAAGTTTATAATTTGCACAACTTTTTTCAATTTTACTGCTCGAGTAATTATATAACCGTTCTGGAAATTAGAGTACATTCCGGAAATAGCTATAGGATGAATATTAAAATATACAAAAGTTTTTTCAACACTTACACATGAGGCATATTTAGGCTTACATACATAATTGTGTTTTAAAATTACTTTTTAAATACCATATTTTCTTACATATTAGCAATGGAAAATGACAATTCTGACTAAAACGAAATAAAAACTTTCTGAATTCATTTAGGCTGCTCTACTATTTTTCTTCTCCTCCTCTTTCAGCCTTTCAAGTTGTCGGCCCATTTGACGTTGAATTGTCTTTTCATCCACAGTTTTAAGATCGTAGGCCCATCCGATTTTAGCAAAAAAGTCGATAAAAAGTCGACTAAAGTTGAAAACACCGAGCATCTCAGAGGTACGGTAGTCTTGGGGGAATGTGTGATGCTTAAAGTTAAAAATAAGGTGGCCGAGAGTCTTTTAGGCTTACATAATTGTGACCTCCCTCGCCCCAAGCAGTCAACGTGGTCAACATGGACTCGGTAGCTTTGATAGCGACATCATAAGGCTTGTAGCCGAAACTGAAGGAGAGAATATTTTTTGTTTAAAAATGTTTGTTTAAATTTACGTATGTGCCGCTGAGTTAATAAACCAAGTTGCATGCAAATTCAAGCAATAACGAAACAATGCTGCGGTGCAAAAGGCAATCCAAACGGATTCACCCCATAAAAAGACAGCTGTTGCTGTAGGGAGAAGAAAACAGAAAATGAATACAAGGGGAAGGTAATATCTGAAAAAATAAAGTTTTAAAAACCAGAATATATTTTTCCGGAAAAGGTTTAAAATTTAGAATATTAAGTTTCCGGTAAATAAATAAATAAGTTTTCCGGTAAGTTTTGATAGCAGTAAATAATCAGAATAAATATAATACTTTCCGGAAAAAGTTTATTGCCCGGTAAAAGTTTATTTTCCGGAAGTTATATCATTCCGGAAAATTATATTTTTTCCGGAAGTTATATTATTCCGGAAAATTATATTTTTTCCGGAAAATAACAAGTTTATTATTAATAATCAGAGTATCTTCTTAAAAGGTATTAAAACAAAAATAGGAAGATTCCAGAAAATAATCAACTAATGCTTCCATTTTATTATCTAAAATTATTTAACAAACTTTCTCTGAAAAGCCAGAACAGGCTCCGAAGTCAAATCAGACATGTCTAAAGTTGCTCCTTTCTCCCTTACTAGAGGATGTTTTTTGCAAAGTAGCCAACCCATATGGGCAAAGAAAAATCCTCTATTGATGTTATGACTGAGAGAAAAACAAAATTATATCGAGAATATTAAAATAATTCTCACGGATCAGCATCAGTGTCAGTCCACTTGTGGTGGCATCTATGGTCACGCGACCATTCAATGACATCGTTTTGAAAGGCAACACAATTCATGAACATAAGAATTATTTTCAGAGGAGTTTTGGCCTTGTAACTTTTGTGTGACCACAAACGGTGCGGACCTGCAGTAATTCCAACACCGCTAACCATCCAAAGAATAATAACTGTATGGGAAAGAGGATGGGGGTTTGAAGAGTTTAATAATAGAGGAAATTACCCCAAGCAACAGATAACCATTTTGCAGTGAAAAACAGCTGATATAGACCAATAGTTGCCCCAGTTTGTAGCAAAACATAGAGACCAACATTCCTCCATACAACTTGTGTTTTGAATTTGGCCTGAAATTTATTTATAATTATGCATTAAACACTGGATATATTCTTTCGGAAGGGATGTAAAAATCATAAGACTTTCCTGAAAGAATATAATAACTTTAAAATTCTCGGAGATAATATAATAATAAAAATTTCCGGAGTGAATATAAACATAGTTTCCGGAAGGAATATAACCATAGTTTCCGAAAGGAATATAGGCACCTATAGTTTCCGGAAAATTAGGTATAAAATTCTTCCGGTATAAATATAAAAATCGTCAAGATTTCCGGAAGTGATATTACTATAGAATAACCGGAAAACATAGTTTCCGGACAAAATTATATTATAGTTATAAAATTTTCCGGATTTTCCAGAATAACTATCATGTTTTCCGGAGCTTCCGGAAAAATTATATTAGTTATAAAGTTTTCCGGATTTTATAGAATAACTATTAAGTTTTCCGGAAAGTTTATTAAATTATTTATTAGAGTTATTTTTAAGCTTTTCCAGGGTTATAAAAATAATTTTATATTGCCTTCCGGAAGGATCAAAAAAATTTTATTCAATTATAATTTTTACTGCTTTAGCTTTTTCTTCCAATTCTTTCAAATCATTAACTTCCATAGTTAAAAACATTTCATCTTCTTCTGTCATTTTTCCATTTTGCCTGAATTGGTGAGGTGTTGAGACATTAAGTGGTGGCATTTTTTATACAAATTATTAAAAAATATTTTTTATTCAACCCTTAAAGTTTCTTAACATGAATTTTTTATTAAAAGACTAGTTGAGTGAATTAAAAAGAATTAAAAGATTGAGAGGTCCAGTTCGATTATGTTTAGGTTCCTGATATCCGAAGATTCTTCAAGAACAGAAACCCTAGTTATAAAAATATCAGTATTATAATCCGGAAAGTTTCTCTGTTAAAGGTTGGCGGGTCCAATTTTCGGTTCAGATACCGGATCCGGATATCCGAAGATTCTTCCAAAACCGACAGGAAACCTTATTCCGAAAAAGAATAAGGTATAACAACCGGAGACTTTTCCGGAATATAAAAATTAATAGATAGTCTTCCGGAAGGTTTTATAAATAACTAGAGCTATACATCTTCCGGAAAGTTTTCCTGAAAGTATAATAATAATTAGAGTTATATTGACTATATCTTTTTCCTATAGAGAGTTGCTTAACTATTATCATCTAAATAAATTTTTAAAACAAAAAAAAATTAGAAAATATTTATTTTTGTCCTTAAAATGAAAATAAGTATTTGAGAGAAAATACTAATTGTTAGTCAGCCCACAATAAACAAACCAGCAGTTTTATATGTTTAGAATGGGGTGATCAAAAATTTTTAGTTTATTAATGTCAATTGTTTCTGTAATAATAAAATTTATATATTAATTTTATTTAACGCCCTATCTCTCTCTTTCCATTCCATTTCCACCTGCTGCTGCCCTATCATTTTATTTTTGGGGTGAATCACGTGAAAAGCTTTTATTCAAGTTGGGGGAGAAAATGTAAGATGTAGGAAAAAAAGTGAAAATATTTTAAAAAATTTGGGTAAATATCAGGGGTGCATCTCGTCTCGTATCTCGTGAAATCTCGTGTTTTTTAGAGGTCTCGTATCTCGTGTCTCGTATTTTGCCACGAGATATTTTCGATCTATTTCAGAAAAAAATGTCAAAATTTGTGAGTATTTTAAAATCATAGATTTAGGAAAAAATGAAGAAATCATGCCCATTGGTCTTCCAAAATTCTCAAATTTTCGCCTGCGGCGCTGAAATGGTGAAATTTTGGCTCTATTACACAATATACGTCCAATCAAAGTTTATACGTCCAATGAAAAGTTTATGAGTCCAATGAAAATTTATGCGTCCAATGAAAAGTTTATGCGTCCAATCAAATTTTACACGTCCAAACATATTTAGTATGTCATTTATAATTTAAAATAAATATAATTTAAAAATAATTTATAAATAAAAAAATCTTATTTCAACCCAGGCTTGTTCAGAGATAAGGATAATATCCGGATACCAGCGGATATATCCGGATACGGACGGATATGGATAGTGATTTTTTAAAAATTGGACGGATACTGATGGACACGGATATGATGCTACAAATCCGCGGATATCCATCCCTAATTTCTGCGATTTAACAGCACTAATTAATAACAACACTAAAATCTGCGATGCGTAAAAAATGAATTTTTTGGCCTATGGCCTTTCAAATTTCTCAAAATTTTCGATTGCAGCCAGGGCGGTATATATTTTTAAATGGATCTCTGATAGCCATTGAGCAAGGCGTTATGAAAAATAAAAATTATTTTGATTTTTTCTGAATTTATTTTTTACTGGACGTATAAAAATTTATTTGGACGCATAAACTTTGATTGGACGTTTAAAAATTTGATTGGATGCATAATTTTTTATTGGACGTATAAAAGTTGATTGGACGTATATTGTGTAATAGAGCCGAAATTTTTTGGCCTACGGCCTTCTAAAATTCTCAAAATTTTCGCCTGCGGCGCTGAAAACGGAAGAGGGATAAAGTCGGTCAAGTGGGAAATATCGGTGTACCTGAAGGGATAGAAGAATATCGGGCGATTGGATTAAGGTGAATTTAAATAGATATGAGGATTCGGATGGATTTCTAGGAATCCATCAATTTCGCGAGATATTAATCGATTATGAGAATTAAGTAGGATAAGTGACTAAGAGGATATGATCAAGATATTTAAAGATTAAGATTCCAAATCTATAGCTAACTTTTTTAATCAATAAATCGGGGATATCAGAAGAGTTGAACGAATATCGGGCTGTAATCCAGCTGTAATCATTATCCATTCTAACCCTTATATTTTCGACTTTTCAATTTTATGTATAGTTTTGAATAAAAATAAATACTTAATATCTCGTATCTCGTGGTCTCGTATCTCGTGAAATCTCGTATTTTTTGAGAGATCTCGTATCTCGTTTTATCTCGTTCTCGTATTTTTTTGAAAATCTCGTATCTCGTAAATCTCGTGTCTCGTATTTTGTGGCACGAGCTGCACCCTGGTAAATATATATTTTATTCATGCATATTCAAGTTAAATATAACCAACCCAACCTCGCTCTATATTCTAGAGTAATTATCAGAAGAATATAACAGAAGAATATAATAAGAAGAATAAAAGAATATAACAATGGTTTCCGGAAAAGAATACAGCTATGGCTTCCGGAAAAACATTATATTCTATTTTTCCGGAAACATATTTTACAAAATATCTAAACGAATATAAGCCCACGAAGTAAAATAACTATAATTTCCGGAAAGTAATAGCTTCCGGAAAAAGCAAGATTAATTGTAATAATTATTTTTTGAAATCTTAAAAGAGTTAAGTAGGGAGGGATTTAAATAAAAAAGAGAATACTATGAATTTTATGAAATGCAGGCGGTACGACAATTGAGGATACGCACTTGAGGATATGACAAATGAGGACGACATTTGAGGACGACAATTGAGGATCTGACATATGAGGACGACAAATGAGGACGACATATGAGGATTTGACAAATGAGGATAAAAATGAAAAATAAAAAAGACTTGAAAGATCCATAAAACTAGGAAGACTCCCACTTGGAAGACCAATAATGAAGAATTCTTCTTTCCAGCGCTGCAGGCGAACATTTTTTAATTTCAAAAGGTCAAGGATCACCGTTTTTCATTATTATTTTAATCCTCAATTGTCGTCCTCATTTGTCATATCCTCAAGTGCGTATCCTCAATTGTTGCAACACCTGAAATGCACACTATTTCAAAGCATATAGCCATTTAGTACCTAAATTGTCAGGTGGCGGCGTGGTGTAATGGATAGAACATCAGTCCGGTCAACTGAAGATGCTGGTTCGCATCCAGCAGCCGAATATTTTTTCGCACTAACTGAAGTATAGAAATACCTATAGCCAAGCTCTGCTTTATTCCATTTTCATTTGAAGCTAAATAAACCCGCATAAAAACTTTCATATAAAAACCCTAAATTAATTTCATCTGTCCACAAACCGACATAAACAATTATACGTGTTGCAGCCTTTGCTAAGGTTCTCGTCAACTTAAAGTGAGTTCATTTTTGTTTTTTAATTAATTACTTCTAAAATCTTTATTGTTTTTAAGTGAGCAATCTCGACATTCCCAAAAAGATTGATGTATGGTCTGTTCAAGCGATGATTGGTAGAGGTACTTTTGGCGGTGTTTTCTTGGTCAGGACGAAAGTTAAGGACAGCAACGAGCTTAACTATGCGGCAATGAAGGTGGAGTCACTCAGAAGGAATCGTGAGGAGGAAGTTTTGGAGGCTGAGCTTTATGTTTTGTTAAAGATGCAAGGCATTTCATCTTTTTGTACGATATACAAATATGGACGGATTGATAAGTTGATGTATAGAGACTGACTCTTTTTAATAATTTGTTAACTGATAAACTTTCAGTTATGTTGTGATGACACTCCTCGGACAGGACATAGGTGAACTTCGCCGGATGCAGCCAAGGCGCAGATTCTCAGCAGCTACAACTCTTCGAATAGGAATCCAGCTTTTAAAGGTGAGAAGAATTCTCACAAAAGTCCAAAAGAAATATAAATATTTCTCAGGCTCTTTGCGCTCTACACAGTGAAGGATTCGTCCACCGAGATCTTAAACCTGCTAGTATCGCCGTGGGACATAAATCACCGGATGTTATCTATCTCTTCGATTTTGGATGGGCACACTACATTTATAGAGATAATGCAAAGACAGAACTTAAACAACCGCGAGAAAGGGTGAGAGGCTGAATATTTTGTTCATAAAAATTTGTATCCTTCGCTTTTCAGATTCCTTTTTGTGGCACTTATCGTTACTGTTCGTTGAACGCGCAAATGTGTATGGAACAAGGAAGAGTTGATGATCTTTGGAGCGTTCTGGTGTGTTTTAATTTTGTAGACGTTGTTAATAAACTTTTGCAGTTTATACTGGCCGAGTGCCGAAGGCGGAAGTTGCCTTGGAGCAAAAATACAAAAGACGAATGCCAGCGCGTAAAGGAATGGCCTGAGCTTGCCGAAAACCTACTTGAAGTCATTTAATTTAAGCCTGTCAGTAAAAATCATTTTAATTTTTAAGGGATGTCCCCCTTCATTGACCGTTATTTTTGAAAACTTGAATTTGCTTGGATTTTTTGACAGGCCAGACTACGAATTATTTATTCAGTGGCTTGAGGATGATTTGGAGACAGACCCAGGAGACAACAAAAACGTTTTTGATTGGCAACGTGAGGGTTATTCCGCGGAAAGAGTCAAGATCGATGAAATGACTGGAAGTGATACTCAGGCAAGTTTACAGAAAAATGTTTGAATTAAACATTTAAAGCTCAATTATTTACAGTTAATGTCTGAAACTGCACAAACCCAAACTTTGTTTATGACTTTGCATTTGTCTGATAGTGATGAGAGCAGTGTGGAGTTCGATGATCCACATTAAGTAGTGACAGAAAGAATACATAAATGTGATAATAAGGGTGGTCCAAAACATGCAAATGCATGTTTTGTATGCGGATATGTTTTGATTAGAGAAACACGAAAACGGTGTTTAGTAGGTCTAAGCCAGGGCTCTCATCGACCAAATGCCACTCAAAAGTATCAAAATCTCGATAAAAAAGTATATAGGGAGAAAATTTGCAAATAAAAAGTATACTCAAAATTAAATTAGAAAATATTTATTCGTGCTCAAATCTTTTATATTATTCTCCTAAATGAATTTTTTCTGATAATTTCTTGTTTACACTGAGCATTTTGTGCGTTTCAATGCACTTTTTGTGGTGCCGAAGACGCCACAAAAAAGTTTTTCAAATCCAAAATTGCGCCGCAGGCGAAAATTTTGAGAATTTTGGAGGCCGTAGGCCAGAAAATTCACTTTTTTGCCTAATCCCTTCCCCAATTTCATTTTCAATCAAAAAAAAAGTATATACTTTCAAAAAAGTATAAATTCAATTTCGTAAGTATGGAGGTCGATTTAAAAGTAGAATACTTTTAAAAAAGTATAAATGAGAGCCCTGGTCTAAGCACTTAAGGACCCGTCTCTTAATGCATATTTTGGCATATTTCGGCCTCTCGTGCAGGTTTACATACCGTTATATATTTTGCTAAATTTTGCAAATTTTGTTGCATATTTTGGGCTTTTTCTGTGCATATATGTTGGGTATGTGCTTAGTATAAACGGCTGAGGCTTTAGCCAGTCGTTAGTTTATTTCGTAGGCGTCAGTCTTATTCTTGTGATGCGCATATTTGATGTTAGTCTTATTCGTGTGATAAAGACTTTATTCTGTTATTCCCCAGACACACTGCAGGCAAGTATATGACAATATAAATATGTGCGCATAAGCATATTTTGGACCACCTTAGTGATAATAATATTCATTTGTTTTTGCATTGTTTTTTGTATTAAAAAATTTTCTTGATTCCGTTAATTTTTAAAGAAAAAGCATTTTAATCCTCTTAAGTTTTGAAGATTTCAGTAATTTGTCAAGTTCAAGTAAAATATTTGATAAATACTTTTTGAAGAAGAAAAAGCAGCCTGCGTGATCTTTGCCGGCCGAGTTTTAAAATTTTCTAAATTTTAAATCAGCATTTTGAAATTTTGACAATTTATGTAGAGCTTTCTATTTCCATAGAAAAGAAACTTTCTTGATTGAAAAGAAACGAAGTTCCAATGTGCTTCCCTCATCGAGATATCAAAACTCAAAAATCAACGAAAAATCAGGGTCTTCAAAAAATATTTTCGATCCCCTATAGGCTGTATTAAATTTTCATTTTATACTTAAGCAAAGCCCTTTAAATTTGCTATAAAACCACCAAGTTTCATTTTTCAGAAAATTTTTTACATTGAGTTGTACAGGATCTAATTTTTAAGGAGTAAAAAATTCAGTTTTAAGGGTAAAATTTATCATTCTGATGTCCAGTGAATTCAACTCTAAATACAGTGTGTCCAATAATGATACGTCCACCCTAATTTTTACCGATTTTGATATGTTATTGATATGTAATCTTTTTTTAAATTTTTATAATATTGAAACGTACTGAAATATTAGGAAAATTTTTTTAAGTACTTTTAAGTTTTTAAGTACTTTTTAAGTACCTTAAATATTTTTAAGTACTGTAACTCCATTTCCCGTTGATTTTCGAGATTTTGAATCTCTATCAAAAAAGCACTTACAGACCTCGTTCTTCTTGTTTTTCTTCTTATTATCAATGGTTATACTCACAGGAATTTTTTCAAAAATTTTCAGTCATTTCTAATATGATTTCTGATAGTTTTTTGAAAGTGGACGTATCATTTTTGGACACTTTATTTAGATAAAATGACTTTAAAAAGTTGAAAAACAGATATTTAATTTAGAATATTAGTGTTAATCCTAATATTTCAGTACGTTTCAATATTATAAAAATTTTAAAAAAGATTACATATCAATAACATATCAAAATCGGTAAAAATTAGGGTGGACGTATCATTATTGGACACACTGTAACTCCCAGGTAAAATTTTTTAATTTAGTAATTTTAGAGGTTTCTTATAGCAAATTTAAAGAGCTTTGCTTAAGTATAAAATGAAAATTTAATACAGCCTATATGGGGTCGAAAATATTTTTTGAAAACATTTACCCTGATTTTTCGTTGATTTTTGAGTTACGATATCTCGATGAGGGAAGCACATTAAAACTTCGTTTCTTTTGTATTTCCTATCTATATTCATAGATAAGGTCAGATAAATTTTTGTGGATTTTTCGATTGATAAATAAAAATTTTAGAAGGGGGTGCGTATAATTAGTTAACACTACTTATTTATAAGAATGTTCCTAAGTCTGGAAGGGAAATTCTTAAATTTAAATTTTTTGTCATAATAGATGGCTTTTAACTTGTAGATTTAATACACAAAAAACTAGAAAGTCATATACAACTTCAGCTTGAAAATGCAGAAAAATAGGGGGTGCGTATCATTAGTTAACAGAGTGTATTACTGTGTAAATATTGCTAATTATTAGTGTTTTACCGGAAGTTCCTGCGTTTTTTGGTTCCGTTTCGGGAACCGGAACTCAAATTGGATCCGGTTCCGGTCAAAATTTGGGTTCGCGTGAAACAATACTAATTATGTCGTATATAAGAATGTTTCCGGAAATAATACAATATTTTCCTGAAAATATAAAAATAATATTTTCCGGAAGGAATAAAAAATATGGAAATAATATACCTATTAACAAGCTTTAGGAAAAATAGTAATTTCAGGGCATAAAATTAACGCATTTTTTAATTTTATTTTGGTACTATGCGTTTATATGCCCACATGTCCGCAAATGTTTGTCCGCATATTTTTCCTCTTCCTTCTCCTTTCTCCTCTCACAAGGATTAGAAACGGTCAAGTATTAATAAACCTCCATTTTCTTTGTCTTCTCCTTCTTTTTCTCCTCTCATTTTGATCAAAATGGTCAAGTAAAATCAGAGGTTAGACAAAAATTCGTTTATAGAAAAATAGGTAATATTTCGGTTCGTATACTCAATCCTTTTTCCTTCCTAAAACGTATTAAAAAATGGTCAGTCGATCTTAAATTATAGAACTCGTCGAGCTGTGTCGTTGACACCAAAATCGTCCCCCGGTCTTAACTTTGGGATGAGATTCAGACAAAAACCCTGCGCAAAGTTGCTAATGATTTTGTTCAGAATCATCATTTGTATTTCGCATTTTCAACTCAAACTGATCTTACTCCCAATATGGTTTTTGACCATTTCGAGCCCTATAGAGAGGAGAAAGGAGAAGGAAAAATATGCGGACAAACATTTGCGGACATGTGGGCATATAAACGCATAGTACCTTTATTTTAATTAACAAAAATTTATTTAAAATTTATTTTAGGTTCTTCCGAAACGGGTTTGTGCTGTAATAGATAATAGGTAGATAACAGGGGTGTGCCGAAACGGATTTTAAAAAGACACGTGAAAAGCGAAAGTCCAAAAAACGCGAAAATCCGCGAAATGCGAAACGCGAAACTGGCACACCCCTGGTAGATAATAAGTTGTGGCTCGTCATTTTGACGTTATTTTACCGATCTGGCGTCTGTGGTGATTTGTGGTGATTTTCCTTTTTTTGGAATAATTTTTATTAATACTAGGTTGTCAATTACGCACACAATTTTATCGTACATGGTCAATTAACATCTTAAAATTTCTTACCCTTTTCCAAAACCAAGTAGTCAACCTATTAACACTTCTCGGTAATAAGATATTCTTTACTAGAGTTGTAAAGCATATAGCTATTAATTTCCTAGGGCTGAGCAGTAGGCGGCGTGGTGTAATGGCCAACACATCAGTCCGATCTACTGAAGATGCTGGTTCGCTCCCAGCCGCCGAATAACCTTTTGCTCTAGCTAAAGGAGAGAAATAGCTATAGCCCAGCTGCTTTACTGAGTAAGAGCGAGGTAAAAGTTTAATCCCGGGCAGGCTTCGATCCTGCGACCTCCTGGAATTTGATTTCACATTTTTTATATGGAGGAAATTAGCAGCATCCGGTTCTTGCCAAATTTTCGGTTCTCTTACCTCCACTATCTCTTACCTCCTCCCTCACACAATTAGTAAAACAATTACCACCTATCGATACTAAAATGTGGAAAATTTTTTCCAAGATCAGAAATGTCCAGGATCAGAAATTTTCCAAGACTCGAGACTAGACCACAAGAATCAAAACCAAAAATTAAAACTTTCAAGACTATTTTTAGGTCCCTCAGACTAACTGGGGTAACTACTAATAAATTAAATTCATATTTAAGTAGTGCAAAATTTTGCCCGTAAGAAGCTACTTAATATATAAAAATTAAATTAATAAATTACTTGTGTATAAATACAAAATCTCGTTAATTCTGATGATTTTTTTACACAAATTTTTGGGACGGGGATTTGCATGAATCCCTACAAAATGCGAAAATTTATTTAAGATATTCTATAAAATGTTCAAATTTAATATAAAAATACAATCATAAATTAATTGAAACCTTTAATTACCGTATTTCCTAAAATAAAGCCCCATGCTAAATTAGTGCCCCACCCTAAAATAGAGCCCCACTTTGGAGGATAGTTGAAAAATAGAGCCCCATGGGGCTTTATTTTAGGAAATACGGTATTCAAATTAAAAATTTTCTCGTATTTCTTCTATTCCCTCCACATATCATCACTTCGACTTTTATTCACTTTCTTAATCCCAACCAATCTTTTAGAATTTATTTCTTTCTCAATTTTTAAATTCCTCATAAGCTCAAGTTTCTTCACAACTTCTTTTCGTTTACTGCTATTGTGGTATTCAAAGTTTCTCATTATTTTTTCGTTGGGAAATTTAATTTCTTTTTTAATTTGTTCTTCAATCTTTTTGATTAATGTGGATAATAATTTTTTGAAATCAGATTGGTCTTTAATCCATAACTGAAAATAAAGTTGGAATAAAGTAAAATATAATAATGTTTTCCGAGGAGAATATAAAAATAATTTTTCCGGAAATAAAATATTAAAAAAATAAGCTCTACTGGATCCCTACCAGGGTCCGTAGAATAAGAAGGTGGTTAGTTGACGATGGTTATCTGACCATGGTTACCTTCATCGGTAACCACAAGGTCATGGTTAATCTTACGTCCGTCTTATTTTACCAGTAAAACTGCAGGTTGGTGGTTACCCCATCAACCGAGTTATTATTTTACGGTCCAAGGGATGGACGGCAATCGAAAAAAAGTTTCTGCAGCCGCTGTCCGAAAGTCAAAAAAAATCCGAATCTGCAATTCTGGTCCAGAAATAGACAAGTCACGGCACTTATATCGAATGAAGGGATGGTCACTTTTTAATTTTCCTGTCACCATTAGATAGAGAATTAAATACAAAGATTTCAAGGGGTACACCCCAAGGTACCGCCGAGCTATAACTTTCTTCTAAATTGTCGAATCCGGGACGCCCTGGTATGGTTAGTCGAACAATATCAGGGCGTCCCGGATCGAAAGTCATAGCTCGGCGGTACAGTGGGCTCGCGGTGCCCTGGCCTGCTACCGATTTCAAGAATCTTTGTACCGACTGTTAACAAGAACATTAAAAATTATTCACATCTTTTTGAGTTATAAGGCCGTAACTCAGTTGAACCTGGACGTACTATATGTAATTAAATGCTCCGCAAAAATTTATATTCTCTCCGGAAAATACTAAAAAATAGAACTGAATAATAATTCACCTCAATTTTAACCATAAAAGGCAAATCCTTCAAATCACTGTAATTATCAATAGATTTATCCAAATTTTTCCCAGGATTAATTTCGCAACGTAAAAATATTCCATTAAATCTCTTGTCAATATTTCCCCCCTCATTTCCAATTAAATTTTTAACACAAATAATAAAAACTTTGTCAAATTCTTTTAATAATTGAATATTCCCTGTCGTTCCAAGTAATAAAAGTTGGAAATTTCCCCCTTTAAAGTTTTGAGGGTCTTCATAATTGGGTGGAATTCCTTCACGAAAGAAGGCACGTCCATATTTTTTGTTGAAGACTGAAAGATGGAAAGAATTCTGATTTTATTCTGGTAGGAATTCTGATTTTTTATAAACGAAATTCTGATTTTATTCTGACCAGAATTCTGATTTTTTTTTGTTAAAATGTTTATCAGAATTCTGATATATTTTGATTTTTCTGGTAAAAGTTCTGTTTTTTCTTATCAGAAAATTTTTTTTCTGATAATTCTGTTTTATAAAAAATACTGTTTTTTGATCAGAATTCTGATTACTTCTCTGATAAATTCTGATTTAGTTTCTGCTCAGAATCTTAGTTTTTCCGTATAAATTCTGATTTTTTCCCGATAAGTCATGATTTTTTTTCTGAACAGAATTCTGATTTTATTTCTGATATTTTGATCAGAATTCTGATATATTCTGATTTTCTGGTAAAAATTCTGATTTTTGTTCTGATAAAATTCTGATTTTTTCTGATATTCTGATCATAATTCTGATGTTTCTGATCCCTTTTCAATAAAATTCTGATTTTTTCCAAATCAGAATTAAAAAAATCAGAATTATGATTCAGAACTCGGATCAAAAATCAGAACTCAAATATAATTCTGATTTTTTCTGATAAATTCTTATCAAAATTCTGATTTTTTTCTGATAATTCTTAAACTCACAAATATGCTTAGCCAGCTGACTAGGCAACAAATTATCTTCTTTTCGATTAACGGCAAATTGAATAGAGCGAAACATAGTTTGAGCACTCTTGTAAGAACAATCTTTAGTTAAATAATTCATCCAACGATCCCCAGATTCTTCAAAAGGATTTGTAAATAAGTGTTTAAGTTTCCCAAGTTGTTGCTGAAATTTGGGAATTATGTAGTTCAGACTCAAAATTATATTAAAATTTTGTTATTTATCTGATCAAAATTCTGACATTTCTGACCAGAATTTCGATTTTTCTGACTAAAGTTCTGATTTTTCTGACCAGAATTCTGATTTTGTGACCATACTTTTGATATTTTTTGATCAGAATTCTAATATTTACGACCAGAATTCTGATTTTTTTCTGATCAGAATTCTGATCTTTTTCTGATCTGAATTCTGATTTTTTATGATCTATTCTGATAAAATTTAACATAGTTCATTAGTTAATTTCATAAACGTTAAACAACTATTTAGTAGAGATCGGCGCGGAACGGGATCCCGACAGGATTTTTCGGGATCCTGATCCCGGATTTTTTTTGAGTTTCGGGATTTCTCAGGATCCGAGATTTTTTCCGGGATTTATCCCTCGGGACCCCGTCCCGGCATCGGTTAAGGAAAAAAATCTCGACTCGGGATCCCGGAAGTTCCATTTTGTCGGTCTCTACTATTTAGTTTCCTCCTGTTTAGACATTAATTACACTTTAAAACAATTACTCACACAAAATCCACAAAAATGCTTGCTAGAAGTGCCACTTCCCTTAATAAATTTTTTACAAAATTAAAGTCAAATATTATTTTTACATTTTCAACAATATTCTTTCTAGGAGGGCAGTGTTGAGGAAAATCATTACATTCATAAAGCCATAAACGCCAGGGATCTTCCAAAGAAAATGAACTCAAACTTGAAACAAGACTGTCCATTTTTATTTAAAAATAAAGGGAAACTGAGAGAAAAACTACACAATATTTATTTTTTAATTTAAAAAATTTGTAAATGAGCAATAAATTAACGATGATTGTTTAACATTTTTATATTTAGCAAGAGAGCCAAATTGATTTTTTTGTACGTTGAACGCTTTTAGTATTTTTATTAAACTATAGCTTACTCATCGGCGATTTTTTTAGTTTTTAACAATAAATAAAGATAAAAATAAAAAATTGTAATTTTCAACAAGTGTGGGAAAATGGAAAAGGTAGACAAAATGCCGTTTCCTATAAATCGGGCAAAATATCAATCCATGTGAATTAGACAGAATGTAAATTGTACAAAATAAATTCTGATTTTTTATTCTTAACTAGTCTGGTCTTTCTATATTTCCTTTTCTGATTTAATATTAGTCAAATCTGGAACAAGTGAAACAAGTAAATAGGGAAAAAGTAAACAGTAACATAACGGCACAAAACCTTAACTAGATGGAAAGTTTCTCGACTTTAGTAATTTTGGTACCAATCTCTTTATACCGATAATGGGCTGTACCCAAGTAAATTAGATGAAGAACAGATTTATTCTTCGAATTTGTCTTCTTCTGAATCGATTTTCCCAGGAAGGTTATTTTTAAGCTTATTTTTAGGCTTTAAAAGAATTGGAAATCAAAAAAATTTATCAGAAAATAAAAAGTAAAATATAGTTAAAATTAAAAAATATTTTTTTTTCAGAAAAAATTAATAATTTATTCGCTCAGTGTCCAATACATCTTCAAATTCTCTATGAGAATTTGCACCATATTCGATACAAAATTCAATCTGCGGCATAAATTTGTTGCATAGATGTATTTTATACTGAAAAATACTCTCATATCAATCTGCGGCATAAACTTGTTGCGAAAATTGTACTTCATTAATGAAAAGTAATCGCCAACATATTCTTCTTCAGTTTCTTCAGCCCTATCTTCTAGCCCAACAAAATTAATTACACTTGTCAACCGAATATTAGCCACCATTTTTGAGAAATCCTCTGATGTCTCAATCAACTAAAATTTAAGAAATATGATAATTTCAAAATGAGGCCTGGCTAAAACAAAAACTTACATTTAAGATAATTTCCAAAAATTCCTGCAAATTGAATGCTGTTAAATATAATTTGGTTAGCATTTTTCCATTCATCAAAATTTTATACAAAATATCAGTGTATTCTCTGGCGTCTTTATCCAGAGAAAACTTTATTGATAAGTAATTGATATGAAGATGCTTCCAAATAAATATGAATTTTTCTTCAATGCTGCAATCCAGATTGAGGCCGGCATTTTGAATATGAAATTGTTTGTCTTCAAATAATATTTGAATCAATTCTGGGTTGAAAATATATCCACCAAAATTTCCACAGGTAAAGTAAAATTTGAAGAATTTATTTAAATAATAATAAACAATTTTGATGTCATTTACGCTTCTGATAATTGTTGGTAGTTGAAGTATAATAGTTCGCACACCACTTTTGCAAACTGAATTTTTTTTATTTTTAGAATTTTATTTATTAAATAAAATTTAACCTTTAGATAGCCAAATATAAATTTTGTCAGAATTTAGCACAGGCAAGTATAAAGGAATTGGGTTTTCTAGTCCACTTCTCCACTAAAAAACAAAGAAATCTTCAACTAATTTAAATTAATTTACCTTCTCTTCAAGATGTTCGGACTCAAATTTTGCAATCTTATTATTGACAATTCTATGACCTTCTGTCCATTTTTTGTAACCTTAGAGTAAAATGGGCGGAGGATTATTAAATAAAATAAGAAAAAGGAAATTTATTAATTCGATGGAAGGTTTAGAATTTTTAAGGGTGGTTTTGAATTTTATAGGCGACCTTCTATTTAAGATGTTGAGAGTCAAAGTTTTCAATTTTATTATCAACAATTTTATGGCCTTCTGTCCATTTTTTGTGAACCTTAGGAAGAAAAATTTTAAAAATTGTTTAAAAACTATACAATTGAAATCTCAAATATTTTCTCACAAGCAAGTTCTCCATATTTGTTAATAAAATTATAAAAATATAAATTTGTTTGTTTGGTTGAACATACTTCTTCATATCCAAGAAATTTAAATATATCAAGTTTTGTTTCTGTTCGTAATGAATAAAGCATTTTTTGGAAAAAAATTAGACGTATGAAAAATCTTAAAATTAAATTAAATGTGTTTTAAAATATTTAAAAATAAATTGAGCCTTCAAACTGCAAAATGCTGGAAATTTCAATGAAAAACAAAAATCTTAAAAATTTTTCTACGACCCTAAATCAAAACTTTATTTTCCTACTCTCATTATACTTAAAAATATGTAAAAATAAATTGATAAATTTAAACTTATTAAGAATTGTAATGAAAAATAAGAAGAAAAATTTTAAAAATTGACTAAGAATGATAAGAAGATAAGTTCAAATAAGCGAAACACCGTCGATCTAAACGATGACCGCTCTTAAAAAAATATAAATTAAATTCATGGAAAATGTTGGGATTATATAGGGAGGTTTGTTGGGCGGGGGATTATTAAATAAAATTAAAATAAATTTATTAATTTGATGGGAAGTTCTTGAATTTTAAAGGGAAAGGAGATTAAGAAGCAAGGTATTTTGGGGGAAATGTCCGTCATAATTTTAAATTAAATAAATATTGAGCTGAGAAATTATTTAAAGGGGAAAGCAAAATTTTTATAGTTCACAGCTTTAAAAGGTTTTTTAAAAGTTCAAAGTTTACAACTTAAAAATTCAATCCCTAGTGATTACAATATTTTTATGCTGATAAATAAAATTTATAGCTGAGATTATTTTTATATTCAAAATTTAGAAAAAATAACTGATCGTTTGGTAGAGAGAGTATTTAATTAACTGAATTTCAAATAAAATATCAAAATTAATTTAGAAAACAGCTGGCTCAACCATTAATATGAATATCACCTCAGATAGGGTATATTTTTTGCGTTCATTTCATCGAAAAAACTCAGCTCTGATGAGGAATCCATATTAAAAGATTGACCCTCGGTATTACATTATATAATATTTTCGAACCCAACTCCTATCAATAAAATTAAATTGATGTGTTCTAAGGTGTCTGAAATTCACTAATAATTAATTATATTGAGGGATGTCCTTGGCTTCCGTCATAGACACAAAATTTTTTGTTTATTTTTAATAAAACAAGTAAAGGCTAAAATAATATAATAAAGAATTAAAAAATATTTTTATGTTAACATTAAATCGTGATTTTAAAAATCCATGTTATCCTCAGAAATTCGGATCATCCCAAAAATTTGAATCTTCTAAAAAACTCAAATCAGGCAAATTTTTCAGATCCTCTTTTTGAATAGGATTGCTTTCAATTTGCAATTTTTCTTGTTTAGAAGTGTCATAAATTGTGTCATCTAAATTATTCGGATAATCATTAGTCTGTAAATTACCAAATGAAATTCCTTCACCATTAAGAGTAGATTGAGAAGGAGTATCATTTTGTGAATGAATATTTCCTTGATCTAACTGAACGTTCTCTTTGGAAACTGTCGGCTCTTTTCCTTTATTTTCACAGTCATTATTTTGGTTATTAATAAATGAATTTCCTTCATTGTTACCAGAAACGTTTCTTTGACTTGACCCAGGGTGACCCTTTCCAAATAACCAAAAGGGGGCATGGACCTTCAAAAAGGGGGAATAGAAGGGGCATAATTATAAAATAATTAATGAAAAGCCTAAATTTCATATTTTTAACTAGTTTTAACGCAAAGAACAAATCAGGATAAGAATTAAAGAGATAGTATCACTGAAAGAATTAAGCTAAGGAGTTTTTCCGAGTTTTTCAGAGAGGCAACGCTATAACAAGTCTGATCCATCTATACCAGGGGTGTTTTTTTAAGATCTATTTCGGCACATCCCTGATCTATAAAAAGGTGGCAAAACATGGCATGTAGAAAAGAAGGAGAAAGGGGGCAAAAAAGAGGAAAAGACCCCTAAACGTGATAAAAGGGTATAAAAAGGTGGTAAAAAATGGCATGTAGAAAAGAGGGAAAAAGGGGAAAAAATCAAAAAGGGGTGAAAAAGTCAAAAAGGGGCCCACTAAACGTGATAAAAGGGTCACCCTGACTTAACCTATCATTTTGTTGAGATTCTTTTTCAATTTTCTTTCTTAATCTGTATTTTCTATTATATTCTGTATTATTTTCATTTATCCTTTTTTTATTTTTTTGATAATATTTTTTTCTGGTTTGATGTTCTTTTTCTTTATTCTTATTATAGTAATTTCGCCGATTTTCACTAAGCCTTTCCTTATTCTTTTGATGATATTCCTTCATATATTCTTTTCTATTAAACCCTCTTTCTTCTTTTTTATTTCTATTAGTTTCCATTTTTGTAATTTTTTCTTTTGGTTTTAACGTTTCTTCATATTTTTGATTTTGAGCAGCAGACGATGATTCAGCTCCATCATTTAATATTTTATTTAAATTCTTTGAAGTTTCCTCAACTTTAGTTAACTCGTTTTGATTTTTATTATTTTTAACAGAATTAATTAAACTCCATAATATCGAATTGAAAATTAAAAAGATTAAAACACTAATAAGTTTCATTCTAAATTAATATAAAATATTATATTATGTAATAAAATTTTATTAATTAACGCTAAATAATAAATATAATTTAAAATGAATATAGGTAAAAACACCCGGTATATTTTCACATACCGTATTTCCTAAAATAGTACTCCCCCCTGAATTAGTACTCCCCCCTTAAATAGTACTCCCCTTTGGAGGAGGGTTAAAAAATAGTACTCCCCCCTTAAATAGTACTCCCCCTAAAATAGTACTCCCCCCTAAAATATTTTTCCCTATATTTGAAAAAAATTATAGTAAACTCATTAATTATTTTATTGAAATTTACTTATTTAATTATTTTATTTATTCTATGTAGCGTTGTCGGTTTCATTTGATTCTCCGATAACCGAAACCGAACAGCTTTCGGTTAACCGAAAACGAACCGAAATTTTAACCATAAATTTGTCGACGATTAAAGAGATATAATGTAGTTAATTTGTGGGGTAAAAGTGGATTTGGGAGATATAAAGGGATTATATCAGGTGGTAAATATGTTTTGGATTGATCATGTGGGGTCTAAAAGATATCATTGGATTAATGTTTCATAAAGGAAATTGAGGGAATAATGAAGGATGTCATATTAGGTGATTTTGGTTGTTAAGTGATAAAGATATGAAATTGAATCATAAATCCTCCTTAATCCACCGATATTTCTTCGTTATTTCTAATTCAAATCCTCAGATATCCAACACACTGGTATCCAACTCACATCATTTGATCCCTTGTTATCACGCCGAAATATGGATATCATGTGATTCGTAGGGATATCGGAAGAACAAAAGTGATGTGGAGGATATCGGTGATTAGTGCTGATAAATCCCTAGACACAGAGATTAGGACATCTCTAAACACAGGATTACACTGGACACAGCTAATCGCTATACACAGGAGATTAGGAAATCTGCTGATAAATCCCCCTGAAGGATATCTAGAAAATTTGACGCATATCAAATGTATAGTCTTAATTGCATAAATCCCCTTATATCCCTCGATATCACACAAATTCACTCATCACTCCAAATCCACCGGATCCGGCATTTTTAAATAAAACTCTGACATTTAGAATTTTCAAATAAATTTTCCTATAATAAATCATGGAAGAGGGTTGAAAAATAGTACTCCCCCCTGAATTAGTACTCCCCCCTTAAATAGTACTCCCCTTTGGAGGAGGGTTGAAAAATAGTACTCCCGGGAGTACTATTTTAGGAAATACGGTATATTTTGTATTAAATGTACTTTTTTGTGATTAAATGTAAAAGGGCAATATTGCCAAATTCGTACAAACATATTTATTAAAGCCGACAAATTATGAAATCTAAAAGGACATCTTCATAAACATTAAAAAAATCTTTAAAATTAAAAAAAATTAAAATTTATTTTGGGCCTCTGAAGTAGTGGTTGGAATTTTAAAATTTGTTTGCACACGTAGCTCGTACTTTCTCGTATTTGGGAAATATGCAAAAAATTATATGTACTTTTATGATTTTCCCGCCGTATGTCCACCCAACAATCTTTCCAGAAAAACCTGCGGATTGAGCCTAATTCGAAAAAAATATGTCAAACTAAAATTAAATAAACAATCCTGAACTTTAACTAAAAATAATAACAAAAATCAGAAGGACATATCGGAACACAAATCAGCAGAAGAAAAAAATCAAAAGAAATATTAGAGAGTTACAAACTCTCTTGCAAAAATAATCTTCATTTTTATTTCAAATAATCTCGATTTAACATTATATCATTTAAACTTATTATCATGTAAAAACAATAAAATGCATACGTTGCAAGAAGGAAAGACAAATTAATAGAAAATAGCTAATGTCTTAAATGTTTATGAAAAATAATTTTTTGGGATGGAATTTGTCGATTGATTTGAATTTTTTAAAAATTATTCCAATCTTTAAGTTTATGTCTATTTTACCCAATTCCATTTCAAATAGTTTAATTAAATTATTTTTAAAATTCAGCACTTTTTTCTAGATTCTTGGGTGTTAAAAAATAAAAACTAATTTTTTGATGGATAATTAGATTTCAAAAAATTTTTTGAAAACTTTACTGGTTCTTTGACTAAACCTTTCCATAAAGTTCAGATAAAATTCAATATTGAGTAAAATTCAATTTGTGGATCAAGAAGTCTAAAGATCGTTATAATTGTTTTATAAACAGGCTAATTTATGCACTTTCCTGGTTGAACTACATTCCCATTGTTTAAACAATCCCCGTCATTGGAATAACCTTTCTAATATTGAAACATTAATGTTAAGTTAGTGAATATTTAATAAAATATAATAAATTTGATGGGATTTTGTAAAGTTATAAAAAATCAGAAAGAAAAATCATAGCAGAAATCAACAAAAGAATGAAATCATAAAAAAATTAGAGAATTAAGAAATTCTCTCTCAAAAATAATTGCCTATTTCAATTTCAATATTGGGTCGATTGAACTTCATGTTAGTTAAAGTCGTGTCCGGTAGTCTCGTCAGAGGCTAGTTTCGTCAGAGGACATTTTCGTCAGAATCAGTTTCGTCAGATGCCTTTTTCGTCAGAGAACAGTTTCGTCAGAAGGTTATTTCGTCAGAGTTTAGTTTCGTCAGAAGTCCTTTTCGTCAGTAAGGCTCCTTTTTTAAAAATCTAATTACACGGCGGTTTTTGACTTATAATAGGTTTTTTGTTTCTGGATCGATTTGAACAAATGAGGTGTCATCCGAAAGAGCTCTAAAAACTGAGTCTAATTAGTTGTGGAAGAAGTTTATCAGACATTCCGGGGCCGAGTTTCAGACTCCTGAATCTTGAAAAATGGTGTAGTGAAGCTCAGTACGTTGAACCGATTCAATTCGTCGAGCTGAGTCGGTTGAGCTATCATTTATAAAATAGAATTTTTCATCCCAAAATCAGCTTTTCTAAGCTCTTTCGAATGACACCTCATTTGTTCAAATCGATCCAGAAACAAAAAACCTATTATAAGTCAAAAACCGACATGTAATTAGATTTTTAAAAAGGGAGCCTTACTGACGAAAAGGACTTCTGACGAAACTAAACTCTGACGAAATAACCTTCTGACGAAACTGCTCTCTGACGAAAAAGGCATCTGACGAAACTGATTCTGACGAAAATGTCCTCTGACGAAACTAGCCTCTGACGAGACTACAGAGCACCGTTAAAGTTATTACCATGCAAAAACAATAAATTGCATACGTTGTAAATTGGAAAGACAAACTAATAGAAAAAGGAGCTAATGTACTAAATTTTTATGAAAAATAATTTTTTGGGATTTTTCAAAATTTTTCAAATCCTTCAGTGTTTTTGTCAATTTTACCCTATTTTCCAATGAATTTTTAAACAGCTTAAATGATATTTTAATTATTTCGCAATTTGTTCTAAATTCTTGGGTATTAAAAAATAAAAATTAAATTTTTGATGTTTAATTAGGTTTCAAAAATATTTTGACAATTTTACTACGTTTTGACCGAACATTCAAGTAAAGTTCGAATAAAATTCAGTATTAAGTAAGATTCAATTTGTGATTCTATAAACAGGCAAATTTATGCACTTCCCTGGTTGAATAACATCCCCCATTGTTGAAACAACTCTCACCATATTTGGAATAACCTTTCCTAATATTGAACAGATAAATTAATGATTAGCTGGTGAATATTTAATAAAATATAATAAATTTGATAGGATTTTGTAAAGGTCAACCTCGATCTAGGCTTTTTCAGCCTCGGTTATCTTCGGTCACGGTTTTTTCAAAAAACATCAACCAACTTTATGTCAAAATAACAAGACAAAAATACAAAACAAACAGAACAAAAAAGGGTTCCACAAACATCCATCATAAATCAAAAGTCGGTATAATATTTGCTATCAGCAACTACAACATTAAATTGCTCTAGTAAAACTTATTAGATGTCCGCAAATGTTTATCCGCACGTTTTCTTTTCTGCTTTCCTTCCATAACCCACCTATCATAAAGACTAGACTTGATCAAAACGATATTGGTATCGGCCAACCCGAGACCGAAATTGACCTCAAGAACCCGATATCGAGACCGATACCATCATTTTGAGCCGAGACCGATACCGAGAAACGATACTGACCGAGACTAACAGAAATTTTTATTTTGTGTCAAAAAATACATGTAAAAATAATTTATTCATTATTTTCATCATCCAAATCATCAGATAAATACTCTTCATCATCTGGATCCGATCAGGCTTGGCAATGGATACAAATTTTTGTGTTCGTATCCAAATAGGTTTATCCGTGAGGTCGACATCCGTATCGGATTATATCAATACAACTTTTGAGGCATATCCATCCGTGGTTATCCGCGGATGGCCGAAATGAAAATTTCGGTTAACCAACCCATTGATTTTAGCGCCGCAGGCAAAAATCTTGAAAATTTTAGAAGTGCAAGTCAACAGATTTCTTCCAATTTTCAGCGCCGCGGGCGAAAATTGTTGAATTATAGAAGACCTTATTCGAAAAAATTATCTTTCTCTGTTATGGACGGATATCCGAAAAAAATATGGACGAAAACTTGTACCATATTGAGGATTTTGTTTCTTTGAATCAATATCGTTTCTCGCCGAGAAATGGACCGAGAATTTTAGTATCGGGTTCGAGATATTGGAAAAAAGCCGAGAATCTAGGTATCGGTCTCGTCTTTATCAGATCTAATAAAGACTAAGAAAAGGATAAAAGGCCTTAATAGCTGTTGACCAGATATCATCGTACCTCACCTCATGGCAATAACTACCCCCTCTGCGCCTTGTAAACTATTAGCTGATCTCGGTTCACAGGCATTTCCGCACCCTGGGAGT